TTAACCAACTACACTTCCCAGGATTCATTGGGGGGAACCATGCAGATGGGGCCTGAGTTTACACTTGAGTAGCCAATCTGGTTTCATGGCCTGGAGCCTCACGTGTGCTGCTAAACCCAAGGCTGGGACACAAGAGCCCTCTGGACCAGATCCCACAGCACTAGGGCTTATAGAATGAGGACTAGGACCCTCATGGGACCCTCTCCTGGGTCCAAGGAAGTCAGAGGCTGAAAAGGGCTCAATCCAGTCCCAGTCTCCAGTGGTACAGGTTGCTCACTAGAAACTCTCCATTTTCCTGTAGGTTCCTCAGACAAGGCCCTTTCTGGTCCAAAGTTGTTCTCTTTATCAATTTTGTACTGGTGAAATCCTTGATATTTGTGGGTGCTTGTGTTCCTTTATGCTGCATTCCTGAAGGATGGGTTTTAACTGCAGGACAATGGCGAGCCAAGAGACACTGCAAAACTAGAAGGATAAACACTCACCATCTATCATGCAATGGTCTGGAGACCATAACATCCTTGCTAAATCTGAACACACATTTTATAAAACATCAGCTTCATTTGTATACATATTTGGACATTTGGTTGGCATGTATAGAGCTACCTGTGTAAACTAAGATGGATGTATTGATGGTTATTGTATTGTTAATGTGAGCTGAAATGTTTTTTTTCCCCTCAGGTGTGTTTTTCTCTCTCTCCTGTCCCCCCTTTTCTTCCTCTCCTTTCTATATGTTTTTTCCCCTTTCTTCAATAAATTTGCAATACAGTGGTACCTCGGTTTTCGAACATAATCCTGCTGTTCATGCATGGCTTTATTGCATTGCTCTGTCATTTCTAACAAACCCATCCTTTGACATATTAGACAGCATCTTTCCCAGTGATGGTCTGAACACGGCCCTGAGAGGAAGGGCACTAGATACACACTTTTAAAAATAAATACGCACCACCGCAATCTTTGCACCATTTTTAATTTTGCAGAGTACTTTCACAACAGCCTTGCAGAGAAGCTCTGTAGCCTCCAGTTTTATTTTGGTTTTATTAGCCTGCGAGCCCACACTTGCCTCTGTTAGCTTTTGCAAGCTCACCGCTGAGGGTGGAGTGAGGGGTGTGCACGCGTGAAGTTACTAGTCACAGCTAGCAGAAAGCTGTGGGAAGAGGGCAGCAGCGTTAGCAGGTGTCAGAATGAACTACACTACTTGTGACGGCAGGAGAAACACCACATTTTCAATCGTTCCCCTCTGTGTGTGCTTGGGGAAGATCTCTGAAAGTAAAAAGCAAGCATAACACGGAGCAGGCTGCTGTACAACAACAAAGAGGCATTGCTTTTCCTTTTAAATTTGCAGGGAGCTCTTACAGTGGATAAGCATCCAAAGATGGCACTGCCCCACCTGAAGTTAAAAGTGGTACAGCCTATTCTACCACTTCAGGGTTCTTGCAGTCTTATTCTGTTGCCTGTGTGGACCAGGTCTATAGCTCGTCACCTGGAGGAAATGGGGGGAATACCATAGTTGACCAGGCAAGTGGCTATTTACAAGCATCTTTTACAATTAAAATAACCCTTTTGCACATCCTGTCCCATTCCCCCAAGGAGCCAGAGGCTGACATGCAGGGGGGCTGTCTCATTTTCTCCTCGCAATCACCCTGCAACATAAGCTAGGCTGAGAGTATGTAACTGGCCCAAGCTTCACAGAATTCATTACTGAGCGGGGACTTGAACACAGGCCTTACTCCAGATCATGTTCTATGAAGCTCTTGCTTAATACAACTACTACCCCATCACTCCACCCCAGTCTTTATTCCCAACTTCCAGGAAATCCAAGTCTTGTATGTGCAACTGCAAGAGGAGGTCTGTGTTTCTGAATGCTCTCCAATGTGAAAAATGCTCTCCCTTTGCTCTCTTCCCGTTAGACTGTAGGATCCTTGGAGCAGGAACTTACTCCCTTTTGCCTATACTATAAAGGGCTGCAGACACTGATGGGGCTATATATATCATATTTCTTAAAGTATATTAAATTAGTACTTATTATTAAAAAAAAAAATCTTTTAAAATATCCAAAAATAAAAGGCAGCAAGGAGCATCATTCATAAAATCTTTGCTCGGTTGTCTACGAGGGCTTATTCATTATATACCGTATTTTTTGCCCCATAGGACGCACTTTTTCCCCTCCAAAAATGAAGGGGAAATGTGTGTGCGTCCTATGGGGCGAATGCAGGCTTTCGCTGAAGCCTGGAGAGCGGGAGGCATCGGTGCGCACCGACCCCTCTCGCTCTCCAGGCTTCAGGAAGCTATCCACAAGCCTTGCAAGCCCGGGGGGAGTTCCCGCGGGCTCACAAGGCTTGCGGGCAGCAGCCTGCAGCCCCGGCGAGTGTCCGCAAGCCTTGCGCGCCCGGCAGGAGGTCCCGCCGGGTGCGCGAGGCTTGGGGCGGCAGCCTGTTGCCCGAAGCACAGGGAGCCCTCCGGAGGGCTCCCCGTGCTTCGGGCGAGTGTCTGCAAGCCCTGCACGCCCGGCAGGAGGTCCCGCCGGGTGCGCGAGGCTTGGGGCGGCAGCCTGTTGCCCGAAGCACAGGGAGCCCTCCGGAGGGTGCCCCGTGCTTCGGGCAAGTGTGCGCAAGGCTTGGTGTGGCAGCCGCGGCGGGGGGGGATAATTTTTTTTATTCATTTCACCCCCCAAAAAACGAGGTGCGTCCTATGGGCCGGTGCGCCCTATAGGACGAAAAATACGGTAAGTAACCACCGATCCCCAAGTCTGAATTATATTCTAATGCTTAGGTTGCAATCCTAAACTCCAAATTTTCTTCCTCCAAATTTCACATGCACAGGACTACACCCTTAATTGCTGAAAAGCTGCGAATTAGTCTTCAGTTGATTGTTCCCAAATCCTATTAAGTCATTTCACCTTCTCTTGATGTGGTTTTATTTTCCAGTCAAATCAAAACAAATTATTTGCAAATAATATCCTGGCCAATTCTCAGCAAATGTAAGAAGAGGTTCCTGATATTTGTTAAAATAATAATAAATATTATTATGTTGATTTTCTCTAAGTCCTGTGAGGCAAGTCCTTCTTATTCCTGCAGACAGCTGGGAAAAATAAGGCTGAAGGAGAAAAATAGTGACTCACCCAAGGACAAAGAATATTCATGCCGAAGCTGTGATTCAAACCCAGTTCTTCAAAGTCCAAACACAGCTCTTAACAAAAGAGCAACACAGAGAGCTCCCTTATCGTGAGTCAGACCACTGATCTATTGTTGACTTTGACTGGCAGTAGCTCTTTCTGGTTTCAGACAGAGATTCTCTTCCAGATCTTCCTGGAGATTCCAGGGTTGAACCCGAGACCTTCTGCATGCACAGTAGAAAGTCTACTGCTAATCTAACAGGCCTTCACCAACACTGGGCTTCAGACTGCATTTCATTTTCTTCTTCTTTCTTTTTAAAAAGTTCTGCCTACTCAGAATTTAGTCCTGTTGAATTCTGCAGGACTTACTGCAACTTACAATTGCACAGGGTTGCAGCTTTATTGTGACATGAATGTTTGTGGCTTAGAAACTATTTGATCAGATCCTTAGATGGCAGAACTTTATCTCTCACTGGCACACATGAGTATGGGGGGGGGGGGAATGTGTAGCAGCGCTTCTAAGAAAATGGGCTCTATTATTACTAGTTTAACATTTAAATATGCCTTTCTTCTAAGAGTTAGAGCTGCTTACCCCCAAGCAATTAATAAAAGAAAGAAGCAGAGTTAGATATTAAAATCCTGTTTGATGAATAGACGTGTTTTCAATTTTTGTCTGAAAAATAACAGGGAGGAAGCTGGGTGAATCTCTGCAGCAGGGCTGGGGATCCTCAAGCTCTGGGGCTGAATGCAGGCCTCCAAATCTCTTTATCTCCCTTGGGACTCTCCCTAAGAAACACCCCTCACTGCCCCAGCTTTGCACCCCAAGTGTTTTTGCCTGGCTGGAACATACCCTTGAACACAAGACAATGTGTCTTGTTAGTCTGGATGGAGAAGTGGGTGAACGTGTGTAGAAATCAGTATAAAGGTAAAGGTAAAGGGACCCCTGACCATTAGGTCCAGTTGACTCTGGGGTTGTGGCGCTCATCTTGCTTTATTGGCCGAGGGAGCCGGTGTACAGCTTCCGGGTCATGTGGCCAGAATGACTAAGCCACTTCTGGCAAACCAGAGCAACGCACGGAAACGCCGTTTACCTTCCCGCTGGAGCGGTACCTATTTATCTACTTGCACTTTGACGTGCTTCCGAACTGCTAGGTAGGCAGGAGGAGGAACCGAGCAACGGGAGCTCACCCCGTCGCGGGGATTCGAACCGCCAACCTTCTGATTGGCAAGTCCTAGGCTCTGTGATTTAACCCACAGCGCCACCCGCGTCCCAGAAATCAGTATACGGAACATTTATTGCCTGCCCACTGGCACATGGCTCCTTGCAAAGTTGACCAGAATACAATGTGGCCCTCGGGATGATAAAGGCTCCTCATCTCTGCTCTACAGGGAAATCCATTTCCACTACCAAAAAGGCCTAATCACTTGAGTGGCTGGGGAAACCCAGTCAAGTAGGTTGCATACACATTATTATTATTATTATTATTATTAAGCATCTTGGACAATGACACAGACAACAGGGCCTCCAAGGCAGGTATTAAAGCCTGAGCAGGTTGAGATCCCCAAAGCTTCATGCCACAACACGAACCTTTCAAGTGGTACAAGACTGCTGGTTTCTGTTGCAACGGACCAAAGGGGCAAGCTCCCTGGAATGTGGTGTCTCATACAAGGGGAGAAACAGGAGCTTATTTTGATACGGAATTGACAGGTGCAACCTTAATGCAGGCGAACTATGAGCGCCACCGGTCTTCAGCATTTAGCAGGCGAACGTACTGAAAGGCACCGTGTCAAGACAAGAGTGGGTGACATTGTGGCAGGCCCCAGGGTCACCGAGCACTGAGGAAGAGAACAGCCCTCTCCAGAGAAGCTTCCCTTCAACTGTTCTTACCTCATCTTCGTACACTAACAGTTTGGTTTTGCACAGCTGGATGTAACGCTCCTTCCAGAGACCAAAGAGGCCTGCACTGCTCTTCCTGATCCAGCCAGCTTTCTCCGCTTTAGTAGGACACTTTGGCTTCTCTGGGGTCTCCTCCTTCACACCCTAGAGCCACACCAGGAAATAAGAAAGAGAAAGGTTGTCATTAGAAACTCAAACCTTAACGCCCCCCAGCACATTATGCAGCTATACAAGCAACTTTAATTTATGTGCACAGCATAAGAGGTGCTCAGTTTTTCTCCTGTGTTTCACCACCACCACCATTCTCCGTTATTTAAGGAGAAAATAAATTGCAATCAAGGAGAGAGAAACCTTTTGTGAAATGTTTGTTTGTGTGTGTGTGTTTATTGCACTACAAATGAGACAGTTGCCGCCCTTAGGCTCTCAATAAAAATAGACACAGCACACAAGGAAAAAGGAATTGGAAGGAGGAGGAAAACAAGTTCCTCCAAGTTACAGTTCTTATAATTGGAAATTGCCCACAGATCAGATCCAATCCCAGAGGTCAAGGCAGCTCCTGCCATGCAGTCCTTCCGTCAGGATACTACCCCTCCCTCACATATTCATCGAGGACATGAGGCAGTGCACTCAAACTGGGGCAAGATGGGCACCCCACTTTTCAGACAGGCTTAAGTGAGTCTTGCCTAACATTCCCACTTCCTCCCCCCTCCAACCTTTGAGGACTGGCACGTGGGGGTTCACCTGAGCACCCCTATGTAGAATAAATGGCCTACCCAACCGGCAGAGCAAAGGCATGAAACTCAAATAAGGAGGTCCTTCTTTAGGATTTAGAGGCATCATGCCTGTTTTCTCGTAACGGTTTCTACCTCTTCCAGCCACATTGCTCACCCATGGGGACTAGCAGAAAATCAGCAGGGAGACTTGCACCCTGAACATGTGTGTTAGGTGGGGGGATGGGTGCTTTGTCAATCTCCCACGAAACGCTACCTCTGGAAACCATCCAACTGACTGAAAACGTGTTTTTTAAATTTGCTGAAAGAAATGGTTTAAGATCCCTCAGTAATTCAGGATTCTCTTTGACAAGACTATACATATATCACATTAGATATATATAAACTGTGGACAGATAGATAACTAAATGTATATATAACTATAAATATAACCTGGTGTTTCCTGTTCTCACTCTTCAGTCACATTCATACCCTTTTTTTCGCCTTAAAAAAAATAAGGCACACTTGCTCAGAGCTGCACTAATAGAAGCCCATAGCCAGGACGGCTACTCAAACACACCAATATAGTCTAAGTAAAAAAAATCCTAAATTCCAGCACACCTTCCTATTAAGGGCAAACAACTTCTATTTTCCAGGCCAAATAGCTACCCACCCCCCAATATCTCTCTCTCTTTAAATTAAAGTCTCATAATATCTTGTGAGAGCTGACAGGATGAGTTCAAATAAACTTTGCAGAACACATTCTCAGAAGATCAGATAGAAGCTTCCTTTCATGAGTCTGCCCCCAACATTGGAACATCTTCAAGATTGGTTTGCATGACTTTCAAGTAGCACTGCAAAGGGGAAATATATTAGAAAGGAAATGGGGGAAAGCCCAAACACAGAGAAATGCTGAGATTGATATTCTGGCAATTTGTTTGATTTATATACCACCCTTTATCAAAAGATCCCAGGGCAGTGTACAACATTAAGAACACATTTTATGGAGAATCAATAATAAAAAGCATAGCAACAGGCAGCATAATAATAAAATAATCATAATAACTGGCGTACATGCCACCAGCTTTAACACTGAAAGCATTCCAGTTGGGGGGCCACCACAGAAAAGGCCTGTTCTCTTGTTGCCACCCTTTGAACCTCTCTGGGAGGGGGGATATAGAGAAGGGCCTGAGATGATAAGCGCAGGGTCTGGATTGGTTTGTACGGGGAGAGACGGTCCTTAAAGTATTGAGGTCCAGAGGCTTAATAGGTCAACCCCATCACTTTGAATTGGGCCTGGAAACTAATTGACAGCCAGGGTAGATGGGTCAGGATATGCTCAAAGCATCTTGTTCTGGCGAACAATCTGGCCATTACATTTTGCACCAGCTGAAGGTTAGGTTATCTTACTCTTTTTTTCTCCCACTGCCAATTAAAAACTTCTCTTCTGTTGCTGCTCAACATATTCACTGTAAGTACTGCTCTTTGTAAAAAAAAATTGTTTGAACATTTGTGTTTTAGTGCTTGGATCACTGTTGCACTGATGTTTGCTCTTTATTTGTAAGTTGCTCTGAGCAACTGCTTTGTGAAGAGGGAAAGCAGGGCATAAAATTGTTTTGAATAAAAAATAATTAAATCTGGCTATAAATGTGCAATACAAACAAACAAACAAACAAACAAGTACCCCAAATATATTCCTTATGGGAACCTGACTATTCCTAATTTTAATTAGACTGATGTTGAAAAGGTTTGCAATTTAGATTTCTTATTCAAATCTCTTTGAGGGACTGTATTTTATATAATTGACTTTTTATTTCTATTCTTTGTATATTGTATTGTTGTTTTATTGCTGTGGCCGATGGCTGATGCAAATAAAGATTCATTCATTCATTCTTTGAGGGTAAGGATATGAGGAGTGCTTAAATCAGATTAAATGTACGATTTTTAAAAAACAAGAACTCATCTTTCTAATATACCAGGAACTTATGTCTTACTACGTATTACCACTTCCTGCAACTTTCAGTTCTTGTACAAATATAGACATGTCAGGATTTCACTGAATGTGTATGAGGCTTACTTCTGAGACATATGCAAAATTGCAGTGCAACAAATACAAGTTCTGCAAATGGCAGTCCTGGGTTTCTCTGCATGTTTGACCCCAAGGATCACACCACTGTCATGTATTTAATGGTTTGTTTTTTAGGGTTTTGGGGGGGCAGCCAGTGCATCAAAAATAAAGTTACTCTAGTTGCTGGAACGAGCATACCAGTTCACTTCTTTGTAGTGGTCTGCAGCTAGTGTGGTCCAGCAATAAACGCGGTGGACTTGGAAGCCACACAACTGCTTTGAAATCAGTGCTCTGACATGGATCCAAAGGATGCCCATTGGCAAGTCACCAGGTATATGGCCCAAAGAGGTTAGCTCAGCTGTTTCCGGTGTAACATTGGCTACAGCAGATGTATAACTAGTGGTGCCCTCCCTCCTAGTCTCCTCCCACACTGTAACCAAAATGTGCACAGTGGATTCGAACATTAGTGATGAAATTCTGGACTGCACCATTTCAACTTCCGCAGGGGACGATTACATTTTTGGATACTCGCACACAAATTTTCAAACTAGCCAATCTAGAAGTTTTTTGGCCCAGAAATGGAAGATCCGACATGACTTAAACCACTTGTTGAAGTAGAAGGGTATGTGAACTCTGGCTATCGCAGAGAAAATAACCCACAAATTACATGTTTCTAAGGGTAAGGAAGACCTGGGTCATTTCAAAGCTGTTGGTGGGATTTCATTTCTTTTGCGTCAAATTGTGATGTACAAAGCTCTCTTCCCCCACATTAGTGAAAATCTTGATATACAGTCATACCTTGGATTTCAAACACCTTGGCTCCCAAACAATTGAAACCTGGAAGTGAATGTTCCGGTTTCTGAACGTTCTTTTGGAACCCGAATGTTTGGTTTCCAAACGTTTTGGAAGTTGAACAGACGTCCAGAACAGATTCCATTCAACTTCCAAGGTATGACTGTACCACTTTCTCCCCCTCTCTCTCCTGGAGAAGAATACTTGAAGCCTTGCTTCTAAGTATGCTAGAATATTACCTGAAGGGAGCTTTGCATTTGTATGTGTGGAAAATTCAGACATATGACTTTACACATACAATCTAAAAAAGGTCCTGTCCAAAATTTAACCTTTTGGCTTCCATCGTACGCTTAATATTTATTATGGGACAAACAGAAATTCCAATTTGAGGGAGAAGTTGACAAATGTTGGATGGCTTTAATAGTAATCTAATGTTTAGGCTGTATATCTGAAGGAGTGTCTCCACCCCCATCGTTCTACCCGGACACTGAGGTCCAGCACCGAGGGGCTTCTGGCAGTTCCCTCACTGCAAGAAGCCAAGTTACAGGGAACCAGGCAGAGGGCCTTCTCGGTAGTGGTGCCCTCCCTGTGGAACGCCCTCCCACCAGATGTCAAAGAGAACAACAACTACCAGACTTTTAGAAGACATCTGAAGGCAGCCCTGTTTAGGGAAGCTTTTAATGTTTGATGTATTACAGTATTTTAATATTTTTTTAGAAGCCGCCCAGAGTGGCTGGGGAAGCCCAGCCAGATGGGCGGGGTATAAATAATAAATTATTATTATTATTATTATTATTATTATTATTATTATTATTATTATTATGGCTTGCCAGGACCCCTGTCCCTTTCCCAATAGGGAACAGTGGGATGTGTGTCTCCTATTTCCCATTCAGCTTCATTCAAAGGCACTTGGAGAATCTACAAGGTGCAGCATAAACTCAGAGGCAGTCAGGAAGAGGGCTTAGACACGTCTTCTGTTGCCTCCAAAGCACTCAGAGGACTCTGCAACGCAGACTTAAGTTCCAACAAGCATGCCTGTTGGGTTGGTGGGCACTCAATGTGGTGAGCAAACTTGTGGACAGTTGCTTCCTGAAGATCTGAGGCCACAATTTCCTTTTGCAATCGCCCTCAAACACTTTCAAAAATGATTTATTTATTTTTTGCAGTTAAGTTGTCTATGGAGGTTCTGCTGGGCTTTACAAGGGACCAAGCCTTTAGTGTGACAGACCCAGTCCTGTGGAACTCCATACCACTAGAGTTTCAGCAGGAATCTTAAAAAAATGTGTTTCAGACAGGCCTTTGCAATGTGAATTTCTTTTTTAGTAACCAGTATTTACTGATGTTTTAATTGACCTTTTTACAAATTGGTATACTGTATTTGTTTTTTGTTTTTTAATGAAAGCGCAGTCCATAAAGACATAGAAAAAAAGATTTCTTTTCTTGCAAATAAAAATGGCACAAGATTGTAAAAAAAGCACCTTTGCAATTTTCTGTTGCCTAAAATCCTGGAAACAATTAAGGAAGATAACAGTGTGAATGTGAAAAAGGAAATAAGAAGATATAGTGATGGCAACCAGCTTTAAAAATGAATCAAATCTATCATCTCTTAATTAGCATGATCAGTGGATACTAGCCAAAATAGGTCAATGTAACCTCCCTGTTCAGTAACGGTTTAGCTGAGAATACCAGATGCTAGACAAAGGCAAAGTTTATTTTCCAGGTATGGGGAACTTGCAGTCCTTTGGTAACTGCTGGACCACAATTCCCATCATCCCTGGCCATTGTCTGTGCTGGCTGGGACTGATGGGAAGTGGAGTCCAACAATATATAGAGGCCACAAGTTCCCTATCCTTGTTATAATTCCTTAAATGGTCATGAACATGGCAGGCTCAGCCTAGAGATGACACCTGTCCTGTGTGTTAACTAATCCTGAAACAAACCCACTGCTCAATGCCATACTTGCAAGATATGTCTCCATTCCCTCAACCACCTGAGTACAGCACAGTGATGACAAAGGACAACTAATTAAGCTGCAGTACCTTGGGGCTGAAATGGTTTGACTACAACTCCCAGCTAATGAGAACTGTAGTCCAACAGTGTCTGGGGACCCAAGGCTGAAGGACACTGTAGCCTAGCCCAGTGTTTCCCAACCTTTTTTGGGCAAAGGCACACTTGTTTCATGAAAAAAATCTCGCGGCACACACCATTAGGCTGGTGTGCCGTGGGAGGGAGGCGGGCGAGTCGGGCGGCGAGCACACGCGGGGCGGCGAGCGAGCTCCCTCCACATCCCATCGCCGCTCGCTTCGGCCGGCCTTCCGGGTTGTCGCAGGCGGAAGGCCTGCGCATGCGCGAGGTTTTCGCGCCTTCCTCCAGTAGGCCGGCCGAAGCGAGCGGCGATGGGAGGGAGCTCGCTCGCCGCCCCGCGCGTGCTCGCCGCCGCCGCCCCGCCTCTCGCCGCCCGACTCGCCCGCCTCCCTCCCACGGAGGTAGGCTGGTGTGCCGTGGGAGGGAGGCCCACCACGGCACACCAGTCAACGTCTCACGGCACACTAGTGTGCCGCGGAACACCGGTTGGGAAACACTGGCCTAGCCCATACTTTGCAGAGCCAGTCCAAGGCTTTTGCTACCTGAGGCAAAGAATAAAATGATGTCTTCCCTTCCGCTACATTCCGGGTAAAAAATCTAACCAGACTGACAGTTGAATCTTACTTCAGCTCCGGTAATGGGACAGTGCCTTCCGCTGCACCTGAGGTCAATAGGCTCACCTAGTGTTCACAATATGGCACACACAGCTTTGTCCATTCCCCAACCCTCAGCATCTACCACCTGAGGCAGCTTCCTCACTCTGCCTAATGGTAGGGTCGGTCTTGAGGTTTTGCATGCAAATAATTCTAGGTTCAAGCCCAGCCTCTCCAGGTAATTCTGGGGAACTCTCCTTTCTGAAAACCTGGAGAGCCACTGTCAATCAGTGTGGACCAGGAATGGGGAACCTGTGGCCCTCCAGATGTTGTTGGACTGTACCTCCCATCGCACTAGCAAGCATGGGTCAACGGACAGGGATGATGAAAGCTGGAGTCCAGCAACATCTAGAAGGCCACAATGTAGACTAAACCAGGGTTTCCCGAAATTGAGTCTTCAGCTCCTTTTGAACTACAACTCCCATCGTCCCTGGCCACTGGTCCTAGTAGCTAGGGATGATGGGAGTTGTAGTCCAAAACAACAACTGAAGATTCGTTTGGGAAACTGTGGACTAAACCAAGCTTGATGGACAATGATCAGACTCAGTATAAAGCAACATGCTATGTCTCCACGGCAAACTTATATAGATTTTAACAATATAATTGTTGCGGCTTCACCCACACTTTTCTGGGAATCACAGAATGCCTCACAGAACTACAGTTCCCAAGAAGCACTGCAGAGAGGGTAGCAGTACTGAACCTTTTTAAAAAGTCTGATGAGTAAATATATGCTCTTATTCTTCACTGCCCAACAGGAGTGAAACTGGTTTACATCTGTAGCATCGCCATGCCCTTATAAAGCCTTGCAAGCTCTTTCCTTTCCTTTCCCCACTTCCCATTTCTCCAAGAGGACGGAACAGCTGAAGGCTCCATGAAATCTCTTTTAAAAACAAAACAAAACCCACTCGATAGTGCAACAGCCCATTAGCAGAGAGAAAGCAGCTTATGGGTTGCCAGTACAAAAGTGCCCTGACAGAATTGGTGCAAGCACGAGTTTGTTGGCAGAAGGAAGCAGCAGCCCCATTTGAAAAGGCAAGAGTTTCAAAATGCAAAACAAGGGGGGAACCAGGGAAGGAAAGAAGCAGCCGCCTGATCTTCTGGACAGACCCATTTAAACTCTAGAATGAGGGGAAACGGTACACCCCAGGCCAGAGGCGATTTGGGTAGAGATGCCCAAAAGAATAAACAACATTTTAAAGGAGAAGCATGCTAACCTATATAGGAAAGTAGTTTTTAGCTGCAAATAAGCACACACTGAAAGCATGCTAAGTGCTCTTAGCAAAGCAGGTCTCTATCTTGGGTTACCACCTATATCCTATTGCAGCAACATCAGCACAGGAGAGGCAGAATGTAGTAAATATAATGGGTTCAGTTGCCTTCTTGTGACCCTTTGAATTAATTATGTCAAGAGTTTAAATAGCCCGGTGGTCTGTACTGAATTGCTTCCAAGCACAAAATGTAGGAAGGGCAATAGTTCACTGGCAGTGCACATGCTTTGCATGCAGAAGGTCCCAGGTTTAATCCCCGGCATCTCCAAGAAGGTCTGGAAAAGATTTACTGTCTGAAACCCTGGAGAGCTACTGCCAGTCAATGTAAACCAGGGGACCCACTAATGTGCTGCCACACTGCAACTCCCATTATCCCTGACTACAGGTCTTGCTGGCTGGGGCCGATGGGAGTTGTAGTCCCACACATCTGGAAGACACAATGTTGGCTTTCCCAATTGTAGACAATATTGAGCCAGGTAAACTAATGATGAGACTTGACAGCTTCCTCTGCTCCTATGAGTCTGAGTATTAATTTATCGAGTTATCTGCCCACCAACTAACAATAGCTATGGGTGTGGTCATTGTCAAGGATGCTGCTGGGTCTAGGGAGGGATTGCTAAGATGTGTCCATGAGACATAGGAAGCTGCCTCATGCTGAGTCAGACCACTGGCCCACCTAGCTGCATACTGTTTGCACTAACTGGCAGCAGCTCTCTGGTCTTTCCCGGCCCTACCTAGAGACACTGGGGATTGAAATTGGGACCTATTGCATGCAAAACAGATGAGATACAGGTTTCTCCATCCCAACCAACTGGAAAATAGGAAGCTCCCTTATACTGAATCAGACCACTGGTCCATCTAGCTCAGTACTGTCCACACTGACTGGCAGCAGCTCTCCAGGGTTTCAGTTTAGGGGCATTCCTAATCCTACCAGAATAGAACCTGGGAACTTCAACATGCAAAGCAGACGTTCTACCACGGAGCAACAGTCCTTAAAGGCATTTCTCTCAGGTTGCTTCTTCAGACTGCACAGTGGGTCACCAGGATCTGGAGAAATTGAGGATGCCTGAGTCTGGCCCCTTCTACCCTGGGCTATGACAATTCCCTGCTTCTTGTGAGCCATGGCAACCAAGAAACACCCACACACCCCCCAGCTGTCTTGAGCCAAAAGCACACTCCAAGCATCATTTCCTACAGCGAGGTTCACCCAGTTCAATTTATCAGCAACTGCAGCCTAAGCATTGCCAGCTTTTGTTTTATTTTTTAAATTGGCCCTGCTCCACTGTTTTCAACAGCAACTTGGTGCCCAGGAATTAAGCCAGCAAAGCTGTCCCGCCGACACTTGATGCCTAAGACTGGAGTGTGCTAAACTGCTACAAAAGGCACAGGAGCAAGGTTAGAGCAGGAAGCTTGGCAACTTTCGTCCACCGCCTGAGTTTTCTCATAGCAGGGCAAAGCAACTCCAGAGAGACCTCTGAAGCACGTGCTCCTTTTCCAGCAGCCTCGGACATCCATCAACAAAACAAGCTATGTTTTCCTCCCTCTCCTTTTCCCAGGCCAAAGACCATTCCATGCCAATAGGAAAACAAACTTTTAAAACGACTTTCATCCAGGCCCTTTTGAGAGCTCCCTCTGTTTAATTTCAGCAGGAAGCAGGGGGAAGGGGGTAGTGTCCAGTCATCGCCCCCAATTACTTCTATCCTCTACTACAGTATATTTGCCCTCCACCAGCTTTTCCTACCCCCCCCCCAAAAAAAAGCTTTTGAAACTGACTTACTCCTCTTCGGATGTTAAACTTAACAAGTTCGGTCAGCTTTCAAAACAAGATCTGGATAAGAATGTTTAAGAAGGTAGTTTCTGTTGCATGCTCTGTACCCTAGTTTCTGACAATCTATCGATCTAGGATCCATCCTATTCTCTTGACCGCAATTTGTTTTAACTGATTTTAATATTGTGTTTTCACATGGCTGTAACCCGCCCGGGACCCCACAGCGAAGGGCTGATAAGAAATCTAAATAATCATCACAGGATCAAACACACGCCCAGCCAAGAGCAGAGGGAAAGTAAGCAGTTGGACCCAGAGGACTAGAAACTTAACTTCTTGAACAAACAGAAAAGGGGCGCATTCCTCCCTCCTCTATCTTGTAACTCGCCCATTCCTTCTCTCTCCCAAGTATGCAAAGCCTTTTAAAGCTGCCTTCCTTTGCCAACCCATTGCACTTGAAACATTACTCACATCTTCCATGGTGGAGATGGGGGGGGGAGGGAGAGAGGAAAGAGGAGGGCGATGCGTCTCCCACCCCTTGCAAAAATAATAATAATAATTCTTATTATTATCTGGATTCCTCTCCAAACACGCCGGGCGCGCTTCTTCGCTCGGAGATCGCTTTTTAATGCCTTCTTAGGAGCCTCGGGGCTGCTCTTCCATCCTTCGCCCGGGCTCTGCCGGAGTCCCGGAGCTTGCAAGCAGCAACAGCAGCAGCCGGCGGATCAAACATGCCGGGTTTGGGCGCTGGGGAGGGAACGGGGAGATGGAGGTTCAACAACTTTCCAGGCTGGCGAAGAGAAAAAGAAAAGTCCAGGGTTCGTTCGGAAGTTGCAAAGAAACCAGCTCCGCCGCCGATGCTGCTTTGCAGCGCCTCTGACTGCGCCTCTGTTTGCTTCGAAACAACTTTGCAAAAAGAAGACACAGCGGCAGCGGCAGCAAAAAAATATTGGTTTCCGGTAGTAGCTTGAGCTCTTAGGGAAGGAGAGGAGGAGGAGGAGGAACCAGCAGCAGCTGAGAAGGGGAAGCTGTTCCCCCCCTCTCCCCACCTACACAGCCACACTGGGTGAGATCCAGCTCCAGCTTGCAGGGCTGTCTGCAGCGTGCCAGCGTCTACTCGGGAGTAAGTCCCGCATGAGCGCCTCGACTCCAAAGCGAGAGGCTCTGGGGACACCGGACTTGCCCGAGTTAGTGACTCCCAGGGGTTGCTGAACTACAACTCCCCTTTCTGGGTGCTGGGAGTTGTAGGCCAACGACCTCTGGAGGGTGTCATCTTGAGGACCAGCTGGTGTGCATTCTGAACAGCCCTACACGCAATCATTTTATTCATTTGTCACTTTTTTACCAGCAAAAAGTCTCAAAGAGGCATAGAATGGAGGTTTAAACTGCAACACGCACACATACAAAGACAAACAAACCCACAAATTCAATACTTGGGGTGTATAAAAGGGGACCACCTTACTGCATAATAATCTTGTACATTTGTCTAAAAGTGCAAAGGGCTTCATCTGCATTATCTATTCCTAATCCATGAAACAATTGCTGTAAACAAATTAAAATATATAAAATCCACTGTTAGGCAATACTAGATGCTGCCCCCTTTAGGCTCCCCAGATTCTACACCTCTGATTTAAGAGAGCCGAAGACCTTCAGACAGGTGGGTGGGTTCTGGGCTGGAGGAATGAAGGAAACAGGCAGGGATGTATTGGGCTATAAGAAGAGAAAGCGATGGGGACCCGAGACCCCAGGGAGGGGCACTTAGCACAGTCACAGTTAGTAGCCCCTCTCCTACCTGGGGAATTGTGGTTGTCCTATCAGCCAGCCCTCAGGTCTACTATGGCTGCTGTTGCTGAATACCAGGCTGGCTCTGAGTAAGACCTCCCTCATCCATGATCTGATTATAGATGAGGAGGCTGATCTGGTCTGTATCATGGAGACCTGGGTGGGTGAGCAGAGTGGAGTTGGTCTCATCTAGCTGTGCTTACCTGGGTGCATAATGCAGTATCAGGGCAGACTTAAGGATGGGGAGGAGAAATTGCTAGAGAGAGATTCCATCTCTCTCTGTCCAGTTGTGGGGTGTGTGTGGAAGAGATCTAGAGTGTGTGTTCCTGGCACTGGGCAGTTGGGACAAATTAGGAATTCTGCTGATTTGCCGCATAACTCACTGCCCAGTAGTCTTTCTGCAGTGTTGAGGACTCCCAGACTCCTGTTTTTGAGGGACTTCAACAAGGGACTTCAACAAGGCCAAGGCGAATGGCTCTGGAGTGGCTCAGGACTTCATGGCTGCCATGATGACCATGGGACATGTCATCAGTCCAAGACATGTGGCAGGCCACAGTCTGGACCTTGTTTTCTTAACTGGGAAGAAAGAGGGTGACCTGAAAGTGTGGGGGTGTATTGGCATCAGGCTTTTGTCTGATCACTTCCTGTTGAGATTTAGGCTTTCAGCACCTCTTCTGCTCTGCAGAGGTAGGGTCCTACAAGGAGGGTCTGCCCTCAAAGGCTGATGGATCCAATTGGCTTCCAGATGGCCCTGAGGAATTTTCCAGTTGATATGACTGGCACTCCTGTCAAAGCCCTGGCCAACTTATGGAACATTTAAATGGCTCAGGCCCGTTGACACGATCCACCCCTGAGAGTCCTCTCCCACTTCGTAGAGCCTATTTGGCTCTGTGGTTTAGGGCAGTGAGACAAGCTGGAATGCAAGTAGAGTGGTACCTCAGGTTACATACGCTTCAGGTTACATACGCTTCAGGTTACAGACTCTTCTAACCCAGAAATAGTGCTTCAGGTTAAGAACTTTGCTTCAGGATGAGAACAGAAATCGTGCTCCGGCGGCGTGGCGGCAGCAGGAGGCCCCATTAGCTAAAGTGGTGCTTCATTTTAAGAACAGTTTCAGGTTACGTACGGACCTCTGGAACGAATTAAGTACTTAACCCGAGGTACCACTGTAGAGGAAAACTCCCGTTAAATGCATTTAAACACTGGTGGGGGCTCATCATTAAGCCTACTTAGTGGCATCCTCACACTGCAATACAGAGCTTTTCCTTTTGGGCCTTTTACAGTCTGGCCCAAACAAGGTGGTAGAACCAACAGTAACCTGCTGTGACATGTTCGCAAAGCATTTTGAGGATAAAATCCCTTTCATTCACTGGGACCTTGTCTGTTACAGCAGACAAATCTCAGAGCGCTGTCTAGTGCTGTTGTGTTGGATAAGTTTCAGTTAGTAAGACTCAAGGATGTGGGCAGGGTGCTTGGATAGGTCAAGGTGATCACCTGCACACTTGATCCTCTTACCTTGATAGGGTAAGGAAGCTGTACCCCCTGGGGCTGATGGGATTTGTAGTCCAAAACATCTGGAGAGGAGCAAGATTGTGGAATGCAGGAATAAGGCCATTGTCACCCACAGGTTTCTCCTTGATGTTTGTGTCCTGCTACAAAAAAAATTTACAAAGCTCGTTGGAGCATACACAATAGTAGTGCAATATGGGGAAGGGGGAAATTAGTGTGTATGCATTGCAAGCAACATTGGCTCTCTTGTACCAGTTTCAGATTTCGAAGGAAAAAATAATATTGTTTCTCTCTGGCCATAATTGGACACCAACCCACACTCGGCTATCTTTCAAAATGTAACACCCTAGCTTTAAAACAGCACAGCTGGAGGAAATAATGGGTGAGTAACTATAATGACTGGGTGTTGGCCAATAAAATTGCATTTCCTGGAAAATATTAATCAGGTTTTTTAAAAACAAAACTGAGAATATTTTTAGACAGCACATGTGTATGTGTGACAATAGAGATTTAACACATACATAAGTGATGTTAGTTTAGAACTTTCCTCTATTTGGGAGGGAGGGGGTGAAGCTGACAAAACTGTACCAAAGATCAGAGCCTGTGCCACGCACCAAGCAATTTATCCCATCAAGGGCAGGAAGCTCAAGAGAACAATGTAAGAAGACTCCTACTGGATCAAACCATGAGCAAAAAGAGAGCCTACTGAATCAGGCCAATGGCCCATCTAGTCCAGCATCGTGCTCTCATAGTGGCCAGACAGATGTCTGTGGGAAACCCGCAACCAGGACCCGAGCACATGAGCATACTCTGCCTATTTGTGATTCCCGGCAGCTGGTATTCACTGCCACTGACAGTGGAGGTAGAACATAGCCATGTGGGCTAGTAGCCATTTACCATGTACACACCTTGTCCTGCATCCTCCTACCAATGGACCAGCCCTACCATTGGGCAGAGTGAGGCAGCTGAGGGGTTGCTGGACAATGCTTTGGCCTACACTCCCTTAAGCTACCTGACTGCCCTCAGGTGCAATGGAGGGATGTGGCCCCATCGCAGGGAGTAAAATACAACTGCCAACCCAAGCAGCTTGTGCACATGAAATGTTTGGTGTGTTTTCCCCTCAAACCAGCTTCAATCCAACAAGAAAACGTAAGCCACATTCACTTCATACTACATTTGAGACAGCTATAGAGGATGCTCGGATGAGCACACAGAGGACAGCTTCATGAATACGGGTGGCACTGTGGGTTAAACCACAGAGCCTAGGACTTGCAGATCAGAAGGTCAGCGGTTCAAATCCCCGCAACGGGGTGAGCTCCCGTTGTTCGGTCCCTGCTCCTGCCAACCTAGCAGTCGAAAGCACATCAAAGTGCAAGTAGATAAATAGGTACCGCTCCAGCGGGAAGGTAAACGGCGTTTCCATGCACTGCTCTGGTTCACCAGAAGCGGCTTAATCATGCTGGCCACATGACCTGGAAGCTGTACGCCGGCTCCCTCGGCCAATAAAGTGAGATGAGCGCCGCAACCCCAGAGTCGGTCACGACTGGACCTAATGGTCAGGGGTCCCTTTACATTTACTATGCAACCCAAAGACAGAAAAAAACTAAAAGGTCATGCCTGTCAGGTGAAAACAACCCTGTCCCCCTCTCTGATGTGAACAACACTGTGCAAATGCAGACCCTTCAATTGTCCCTATTTTTCAAAGACGCCCCTGATTTAGAGAAGCCGTCCTGGTTTCTGATTTGATCCCGGAATGTCCCCCTTTTCCTTAGGATGTCCCTATTTTCATTGGAGAAATATTGGAGGGTATGGAGTTATCTGACCCCCAAGGCGTCTGAAGACAATCCTGTATAGGGCAGTTTTTTCAAATGTTGTATTATGTTTTTATATATGTTGGAAGCTGCCCAGTGTGTTGGGGCAACCCAATAAGATGTGTGGGGTATAAATAGTAAAATTATCATTATGGAATGGGACACCCTATTTTCATCGAAGAAATGTTGGAGTTGGGTATGCAAATGTCGCTTGAAACATAGCAAGAATAACCTTGGGTTTTAAGCTGATAATGTAAGCGTAACCTCGCTGTACCCAAAGATTTAATAGGTATCCCGACATGGTAAAAATAGGGATAAAGTTGGAACAGTTAATTATGAGCAGACTTACCCCGGTGAACATGAGAAAGAAGTGATTGCAGAAGTGGACCAAAGGAAGGCTGCTTCTGTGTCCAGCCCATGAGACAAGGGTCATAGCTTTCTGAACAAAAATAGATTTTTAAATACTTTTTTCCCCCTGTGCACGGTCTGCACTTTGGGACTCCTCTGGCATCACCCCCAAGGCCTTAAATATCACAGCTGAGTAGCAGCGTCATTGCGATTTCGACACACCGGACAGATAGAGGAAGTCATGTGAAGATGAGCATAAGAGCACTTCCCCCAAATGTAAACTGATTTGGATGTGGTTTCCAAGAGGGTGGAGGTGGGGGGTGGCAGCATTTAGAACCACAAATGGAAAATGAAGAAGTGCCTACATGAAAGTGTAATAATAAATAAAATAAATCATCACATCAGCAACTAGCACCCTGACAGCTGCTTGGAATCCAGTTCCCCAGTGGGATTCATTGACTAAACACAGGTGCAACTGGAGTGTAGAATACTATGAGTGGCCATTTTTAATCTCCCACAATGCCCCTGGCATAGCATCACTCCAAGCCTGCCCCTTCCGAGGCTCCTTAGACCACTGTAAAACTTCAAACTAATAAAATGGCTGTGAGCTACGCAAGTGGGATGTGTGGGGTAGATAACAGTCACGAGCCGTCGAAAGCTTTTAATGTTCATTCAAGCATTAGCCATGCCCATCAAAGAAGTATATTTGGTTTTTAGCTACCGGGTCCAAGTGACACTGGTCCTGCCAGTGAGCTACCAGGCCAAATTCAAAATGTTCGTAGTACTATCATATACAGCCCTAAACAGCTTGGGATCCATGTACTTAAAAGAGTGCCTTCCCCAATATTCACCATATTGAACCCTGTGATTGGCAAGTGAGGCCTTGTTGGTGGTGACAGGGCCTTTTCAGTAGTGGCTCCTTGGTTGTGGAATGTCCTTCCTGGTGAGGTGAGCCTGTCTCCATCATTATTAACTTTCAGGAGGAATTTGAAAAAGTTTCCTGTTTACCCAGGCATTTGGTGGCTGAAAGTATTCCAGGCAACCCTCAGATCTTTGGATGGATAGATGTTTGTGACTGCCTTCAGGATGTTTTTAAACTGCAACCAATTTTAGAAATTTTAATTGTTTTTTATAATGTTTGTTTCATTTGTTTTTTCTTTTAAATGGTGATCTGTTTGCCACCCTGCACTCCTTGGGGAGGAAGGGTGGGGATATAAATTCAAGACGTAAATAAAATACTGAAAAGCTGAGAGGAAATGCAATGGACATTGATGTAAAGCCAACTCCAGAACTCCATGGAGTTGTGCAAGTGTAACGGAGAGAGCCAATTTAGCCCTTGAATGAACAAGTCTGTGGCTGGCCAAGGAAGAGGACAGGAGATGTAACATTTCTCACTGAGAAAAGGACAGCCCTGTATCCAATATAGAGATGAGGATGGGAAACAGAAAAGTCACGATCCCAGTGAAATATAATAACACCCCTGCCCTGCCCTGAAGAGCCATATGTCAGCAAGTATGGGGGAAGCTTTTAATGTGAAATGAAACTCTCACTTTTGAGACCGATCGCTCTAGATCTCCAGTTTTCAGACTTCAGGACAGGGTTGGCATGATAGGTAAAGGTAAAGGGACCCTGGCCATTAGGTCCAGTCGTGGCCAACTCTGGGGTTGCGGCGCTCATCTCGCTTTATTGGCCAAGGGAGCCGGCGTACAGCTTCCGGTTCACGTGGCCAGCATGACTAAGTCGCTTCTGGAGAACCAGAGCAGCGCACGGAAACTCTGTTTACCTTCCCGCCAGAGCGGTACCTATTTATCTACTTGCACTTTGAACTGCTAGGTTGGCAGGAGCAGGGACCGAGCAACGGGAGCTCATCCCATCGCTGGGATTCGAACCGCCGACCTTCTGATCAGCAAGTCCTAGGCTCTGTGGTTTAACCCACAGCGCCACCTGCGTCCCTTAGGCATGATAGAGGTGCATATAAAATTATGGATGATGTGAAGAAAGTGGGTAAGGTAGGAATGGAGAGACTCCAGATGTTACTGGACCCTAACCAATGGGGGCTGTGGCCCTTGGGACTGGTAGTGGAGTCCAAAAGTAGGTGGATCCAGGGCCAAAGACAGACACAGTCAGCTAAGTCTAGTGGTGACTGGGAACGGCCGCCGAGACCACATAACACCTATGTTGGCTCCCAGTACATTTCCGAGCACGATTCAAAGTGTTGCTGCTGACCTTTAAAGCCCTAAATGGCCTCGGCCCAGTATTCCTGAAGGAGCGTCTCCACCCCCATCGTTCAGCCTGGACACTGAGGTCCAGCGCCGAGGGCCTTCTGGCGGTTCACTCACTGTAAGAAGGGAGGTTCCAGGGAACCAGGCAGAGGGTCTTCTTGGTGGTGGCACCCGCCCTGTGGAACGCCCTTCCGTCAGATGTCAAGGAAATAAACAACTACAGTGGTACTTCTGGTTATGAACTTAATTCGTTCCAGAGGTCCATTCTTAACCTGAAACCGTTCTTAACCTGAGGTACCACTTTAGCTAATGGGGCCTCCCGCTGCCGCCAGTGCACGATTTCTGTTCTCATCCTGAGGTAAAGTTCTTAACCTGAGGTACTACTTTCAGGTTAGTGGAGTCTAACCCGAAGTGTTTGTAACCTGAGGTGTCTGTAACCTGAGGTACAACTGTATTTGACTTTTAGAAGTCATCTGAAGGCAGCCCTGTTTAGGGAAGTTTTTAATGTCTGATGTTTTATTGTATTTTAAATATTTTGTTGGGAGCCGCCCAGAGTGGCTGGGGAAACCCAGCCAGATGGGCGGGGTATAAATAATAAATTATTATTATTATATTATTATTATTGTCTCCATGCTCCTCGCTGCTTAATTCTATAAGGAACAACACTGAGAATTCAGGAGGATGAAGCTATCGGTGAGAGACACCCGTGGACTGGTTGTAAGTGAGAAGGTAGTGAGGTGGGGGCTGCCTGGGGGAAGAGGGGCAGCACCCCACTTGCAAATAGACTTTCCAAACATGTGGAGGAAGCTGTGGAAACACAAACAGGTAAACTATAAACAATTGTGATAGCTGAGATTGTCTCAAACCATTACCTGTGTTTACGCTTATGGGAGCTAATCCTGGAGACTATAAAATGTGGTTAACCTCGCTAAACAAGATTAAGCCAATATGTATGTATAAATCATTACTCTGATTTCATTATTCTCAGTCCAGCAGATCCCTCTTTCCATACCTAATTATAGATACACCAGCTACATTGGATCAGCACTGTGATCTCAATGGCTCTTAGATCTGAAGCAGAATCTTTTGACTTTGGGAGGCAACTCAACCAGAAAGGCCAATCTGAATATATTTATGAAGGAGCCGCACTTTCAAATGGGATGAAACCCTTCTTCTGGAAAAAGAAATATGGTGGTGATAATTTAGCATTTATCTGGCACATATATATCTATATATATCTCATAGATAGATAGATAAAATTTATTTTTATTTTAAAGTTAATTTTGGCAACATTCATCATAAAAAAAACCTTGAAGAGAAACATTGAACAAACCTTATACAATTATACTACTGTTTCACTGACACTTTTATCCAACATATTTCAATAATGTATTATCAAATAAAATATTATAGGATCATTAATGATTACGACTAAAAAAAAGTCAAACCCAGACTGAGATTCTGGGAGGTAGTAGTTCTCTTGACAGAACATAATTTTTACGTTTATAGCCACCCCCTTTTCTCCAAAGAGCTCAAAAAGTGGCATAGACCGTTCTCTCTCTCCCCATTTTTTCCTCACAACAACCCTAGGACAGGCTGAGAGACAGCGAGTGGTCCAAGGTCACCCAGTGAGCTTCATAGCTGAGTGGGGATCTGAACCCTGGTCTTTGTCATGAACTGGCAGGACAACATATAAGAGGTTCCTTCTTCACAGAAAGTGTTGTGTAACTCACCAATTATTAGTACAGTGGTACCTCGGGTTAAGTACTTAATTTGTTCCGGAGGTCCGTACTTAACCTGAAACTGTTCTTAACCTGAAGCACCACTTTAGCTAATGGGGCCTCCCACTGCCGCCATGCCGCCGGAGCATAATTTCTGTTCTCATCCTGAAGCAAAGTTCTTAACCTGAAGCACTATTTCAGGGTTAGTGGAGTCTGTAACTTGAAGCGTGTGTATCCTGAAGCATATGTAACCTGAGGTACCACTGTATAGGATCTAGCAGCACCACTAGGTATGGCACATTTCTAAGGGTTCAAAATGCTTCATGTACATGATCTCGGTAGACCTTCTGTCCAAATGCTAACTGTTGTACAGGCAACTTCAGAGCCCCTGTTCTCACTTCTTACGGTTCTTATCTTTACACCAGGGATGAGGAACCTACAGCCCTCTGGATATTGCCTGGATTTCCATACCTGTTAGCCAGTACAGCCAAGCGGACTTGATCAGGCACATAGATTTCCTGGCTACAGTCATCCCCTCTTTGGTGAGGTGCATCATATTTCCATTTAAGGTGTAGTAATAATTTGTGTGTGCATTTTATGCAAATATTTGCCCCATTTTGCCTTATTTATTTGGAGAAGCATTTCCTCTTTTGGGTCATGCATAAGTAGCAGTCATAACCAAGGGCTAAGAAGAAAGGGGGCTGGGGGACGCTGACTCACATATAGCTTGTGTGGGGAATGTACATAGGATACAGAGAATCGGAGTACTTTGGAGGCTGGGCTTGCAACTTCTATCAGTCTTAACTCTCTCTCAAACAAACAGACACACATTCACTGTATCTGCGAAGAACTGATAGCCATCTGATTCTAAATAGTGCAAATATCAGTGGTGGCTGCTGGCCACTGGGACAAGAAGGGCTGAAGGAGGGAGCCCAACAGTAGGTGCAGCCAAAACCACTTACAGGCAGAGCTAACTTTTGTCTCTGGCCTACTCCCTGATGAGTTCTACAAGGAGCAAAACTGAGACTAAAAATCCAGACAGGGGGACAGCTGAGGGCAGGTAATTCAGTACCCACTTTGTCTAATGGACCAGCCTTGACTGGTTATTATGACCCACACATTGGGGACTGAGGCTGAAAGAAAAAGACAGGGCCACTTCCAAGCTTGAGGGGCCTCTCAGCATGATGCGCTCTGGAGGACACTTCCATAACACTCCTGAGCCTTACCTAATGATGACAGCTATTCTCCAGCCAACTGTTACGGCTGCCATTTTAAATATCCACATGGCCAGAAAGCAATGTGATGTAGAGTACTCTGGGACACTGAGGGAAATTTAAAATAGTGGCTTATAGGAGCACGTCGCCCAGGGCAGAGATCAGTGGCAGTGGGCCCTGCCTGAGGAGCAGGGTTGCTAATGCCAGACCAGGATGCAGGCCCTTTAATGAGCTTCTGGCTGTGGTGAGATTTGAATCAGAGACTTCCCAGCTCACATGCTCACATGCTTCTACTATATTGTTTGGGATATTGTTTGTTTGTCAGTTCTGTATGCTCTTAAGACAGCAAAATCAAATTTTGCATGGTTCTTGAGATCAAGGTGAAGGTTTCCGCCTGTTTCCATACTGTTGGACATCATTTTGATATCAAAATGGTGGAGTGAAGCTTTCAGATCTGCATAGATCTTAACTACTGATTTCATAACTGCACTGATTTGGAGGGGTTTCTTAGAATTTATGATCAATCCTAAGTGTGAGTCTGCTAGTAGAAGAAGAAGAGGAAGAGTTTGGATTTGATATCCCGCTTTATCACTACCTGAAGGAGTCTCAAAGCGGCTAACATTCTCCTTTCCCTTCCTCCCCCACAACAAACACTCTGTGAGGTGAGTGGGGCTGAGAGACTTCAAAGAAGTGTGACTGGCCCAAGGTCACCCAGCAGCTGCATGTGGAGGAGCGGAGATGCGAACCTGGATCACCAGATTATGAGACTACGGCTCTTAACCACTACACCACACTGGCTCTCATTCAGTAGTAGCCATTCAGGTCCACTCCACCAGCTCTAAAAAACAGCATGTCTTTTCCAAATGTGGATCTACAGCAATGAGGGAGAACTGAACGGGCAGAGTTTTTTTGTCTCAGTTTTTGTTGCCCCAGCTAGCACAGCCATGGCAACCCTCTTTAGTGACTACTGAACATTATTGGGCTGTCAGCGTTCGGAAGGTGGCTCCTGATATCCAGCAGGCCAAAGTGCAGCACAAAGCTGCACAGTTTGCAGAACCTGCAATGGTCCGAGAGGCTTCTCTAAATGGCACTTCACATGCTGCAGGCTCTTAAAATAAACTGCAAACTTATTTTTGCTTAAGCAATGCAGCTTCCAGAGGAAGTGTGCTTGTTGAAACTTTTAAAGGGTGTGGACCTTGTGTCATCTCTCTTTCCCCTCCAACTTGGCACGAGGTCTCAATGGTACATCTGCTGTGCATGCAGAGACGTTCCTAAGTTCAATTCCCTGCATTTCCAAGTTGGGCTTAAGGCTGAAAGTGGTGGCTGAGGGTCAGGCAGGAACCACTTCCACGTCTCGGCCACCACTTTCGGTGGGTTTAATTGGGGATGTAAAAAAGAAAGTGATTGAAATCAGATGTTCAAGCTACATACTCTCACGTTGTGGAATGGGGAACTAGCTGTAATATGGGACAGTTTCTCCCATGTGTGTGAAACTTGCAGAAGAAAAGATTTCACAACAACGATTTTTCATCGTATTAGAATACGTTCAGTTGCCTTAAACATATGCATGGGGGTGGTGGTTTTGCATTAATTGGTGTGGTACTGACTTTGCAGATGATGATGATGATGATGATAATAATAATAATAATAATAATAATAATAATAATAATAATTTATTTGTACCCCGCCCATCTGGCTGGGTTTCCCCAGCCACTCTGGGCGGCTTCCATAGAAACCAAAAAACACTAAAATATCATACATTAAAAACTTCCCTGAACAGGGCTGCCTTAAGATGTCTTCTGAATGTCAGGTAGTTGTTTATCGTTTTGACATCTGATGGGAGGGTGTTCCACCGGGCGGGCGCCACTACCGAGAAGGCCCTCTGCCTTTGCAGACAAGTCATTTAAGGAGATCTCTGTTTGAAGAGTTTTATGATCCGAGTCTGGTTTAAAGAAAAAGAGCCCTGAGAAGGGGAAAGAGGGGCCTTGAAGTTGCCTGACCCCAGTTAGCGTCTGGAGCAGACTGAGTGTATACACAGCTCACCTGGTCATAGTCCTCCTCACTCTGGTGAGATGTCTTTCCCCCCCTATTTAAATTATCCCCAAAATGTGTTCTGTCATACTTCACATCCACACCATACATTTAAAGTACACGACTTCTCCCAAGGACTCCAGGGAACTGTAGTTTGTTAAGGGCACAGGGGATTGTAGATCTGTGAGGGACACACTACAATTTCCGGGGTCCTTTGGGGAAAGCTATGCGCTTTAAATGTATTTTGAATATACTGCATGGATGTGACCTCATTAACTTATTCCCTAAGAATGTCAACAGGTGCATACATAGAGGCGAGGGGGATGCGGGTGGCGCTGTGGTCTAAACCACTTAATCTCTTGGGCTTGCAGATTAGAAGGTTGGCGGTCCAGATCCACACGACAGGGTGAGCTCCCATTGCTCTGTCCCAACTCCTGCCAACCTAGCAATTCAAAAGCACACTGGTGCAAGTAACTAAATACCACTGTGGCAGGAAGGTAAATGGCGTTTCCGTGCACTCTGGCCTCTGTCATGGTGTCCCATTGCACCAGAAGTGGTTTAGTCATGCTGGCCACATGACCCAGAAAGCTGTCTGCAGACAAACACCAGCTCCCTCGGCCTGAAAGCGAGCTGATCACCACAACCCCACAGACGCCTTTGACTGAACTTAACCGTCCAAGGATCCTTTACCTTTACCTACACATAGAGGCTATCCAACCTGACTCTGTAGCTATTCATGCTGGGAAGGAAGGGGTTAATGAGCCCTTTAAACTTTAATTGGGTCACCTGAGCTGGTAGCAGAGCCAAAATGGTCAGCCTTCTAGCCTTTTCTCCATTCAAAATTTAGGGTGGCTGGGTGAAAAAAATGAGGACAGGGTTCCTGCACATATGATGGATGAGTAGAAGAGAAAAAGGGGCAACATTAAGAGTAAAAGGTAAAGGTAAAGGTACCCCTGACCGTTAGGTCCAGTCGCAGATGACTCTGGGGTGGCCAGCATGACTAAGCCGCTTCTGGCAAACCAGAGCAGCACATGGAAACGCCATTTACCTTCCCGCCAGAGCTGTACCTATTTATCTACTTGCACTTTGACATGCTTTTGAACTGCTAGGTGGGCAGGAGCAGGGACCGAGCAACAGGAGCTCACCCCGTCACGGGGATTTGAACCGCCGACCCTCTGATCGGCAAGCCCTAGGCTCTGTGGTTTAGACCACAGCGCCACCCGCGTCCCATCTAACATTAAGAGTAAGAAGGAGCAATCTGGGAGGCAGTGCTCTCCCGTGGATAGTTGTAAGTAAGAAGACAGGCAGGTGGGAGCTTACTGAGGGCCAGCCAATGTTGGTGGGGCAGTGCCCCATTCTCCCTGATCAACCAGCCTCCACTGACCCCATTCAAAGTACAGTCTGCACTAAGAATTAGTTGCTCAGTAGGATCCTGCAGGAAATTCCATACAGCCTCTGCACAATCCCACAGCGATTTGGATTGGTATCTCAGATGAAGTGGAGTCTTCTGGATGTATGACATCACATTTTGACAAAAGAACTGAGAAACACACACACACACACTTGCTGCATGAGGCAAGGACATTTCGGCTGCCAAAAAGCTGGAGAGGGTTGGTGGCTTTCGCTTAAGATTTGTCGTGAGTTTTGTGGCTGAGCAAGGAGATGAATGCCAATCTCTCGCATCCAAAGACAATGCACTAAGTTTCGCATCAAGCTGACTCTCTGGGTTGAGGTGGGTGTCGTTCCAGTGGCCTTCAGTGCAGGATTATGAGAGGCTGAGACCTCCCACCACTCTGCAACTAGGAAGGCTGGCATCCATCTGTCTCACAAGACAATGGAAGAGTGTGCCTTCAGAGGTGAAGTCAAACTGTTGGAGTGTTATAGCACCTGCTGTGGCTGTAGAGAACAATATGAGTAAGATATGTTTTGTTGCAGCTGGGACAGATGAAGGCATCCAGTTGTGCTGATGTAGGTGTACCATGGCATTTCTTCTTTCTGCACTCCGACCAGCAATCATTCCTCCTCTGGTCACTGCTGTGAATTTTAGTTGTGCTTATTTGAGCCATATAGCCAGTCCATTTGTTTTATACGTCAAAATCTTCCTGGTGCCATTTCATTTTGAAATGAAGGTCCATGGAATAATTAGCCGCTAGGCAAACTGCATAGCAAAAAGACAAGAGAAATATCAAGTGGGCCCTGGAACAAAAATCAAGATGGGGGACAAGCTTCTTACCAGCGTCATCATTGCTGGTCTTTTGTAGGGGAGCAGTGTTAGAAACTGAGGTATGAAAGCTAGG